AATTTATTAAGCCTGCTAATCAATAAATCTTTTCGTGTTGTAATAAAAAAAAAATGTCTATTTTATAAAATTTTAATAGTAAGTTAAAAAATTTTTCATAATATATATTATAATATATAGTATATATATATATATATATATATATATATATATATATATTTAATAAAATCTAGCGATATTATGGATCATATCATACTATAATAATATAAAGAATATAAAAATCTATTATATATAAATAAAATCCCAATGCCAACCTCACCACCTGTTGGTTGTAGGGGTTAGCCCCAACCTTACTTTTTCACCGTGCTTAGGGTTTTGGCCTTTGATTACATGACAAGGTCCACCTAACACCCTCTCGGGGTTCCCAAAACGGTAATCCCGCCTCTCATTCCTACTCCGATCTCCTCGGTCCAGGCCTGGGTGACCATCCCCCTGGGATCTCGCCGAGGTCCCAGACTCCCTCGGGTCGTCGTCCGGAATCACTCCGGCCTCCGGCCCGTTTGCCGCCGTCTCTTCATGCCGCCGCTTAGAGGTGTAAGAGCATCTCCAAGGGATCCCTCAGATATCTCTTAATTTAGGGGGAACTTTAAGGGAAGGGTTGGTTCTCCTCCAATGGTTCCCCTTTAAAAGTCCCATACCCCTTAATTAATTATGTTTAGTTTTTTAATTTTATAGATTAGAATTTAATTAAATATATAGTTTATTTATAAATGAATAAATAATTAAATATTAATAACTAAAATTAATTAATTAATTAATTTAAAATAAGAAACTACCTTATATAATCATTAAATTAATTAATCATATTAAAATTTAACAAATAATTAATTTAGATAATAATTAATTTATATAATTTTGTTAAAAGTTAAATATTATTTTAAATTTAAATTCATATTATTTTAATATTAATTTAATTTAACAATAATATCTCAACAGATATATCTCAATGGTCGTATTATAACAGTCATATTTTAACGGTTATATTTTAATGGTCATATTACAATGGTCGTTTTTTAATTAAATGTGGTCACTCTCTCTATAAATAGCACTGCCAGTATCTTTCATTTCACTAATATCAAATTTATTCAAAATTTTAACCCAATCTTTAATATTATTTATGGCTAGTAATTTGTTACGTGCCTTGCTACAAGAGGAAGAGGATGACGACGATGATGATTATGCCACCTTATTAGCAATCGCATCTTTGGAAGAACAACACTCTAGCGAAGGTCAAAGTTCTTTTCGTCGTGGTTCCATTCCAGGGCACGTTGTAATTCAACGCAATAGAGCTAAAGGTCACGAGAGGCTTTTTCATGATTATTTTAGTGAATCTCCTGTGTATCCACAAAACTATTTCGAAGGAGGTTTAGTATGCATCGTCCACTATTTTTGCGTATTTTATCCGTAGTGGAAACACATGATTCCTACTTTGTCCAAAAACGAGATGCTGCTGGGAAAATTAGTTTATCCTCACTACAAAAAGTATCTGCTGCTATGAGGATGCTTGCTTATAGAGTATCAGCAGTTTCTGTGGATGATTATGTGCGGATTGGAAAAAGCACCGCTATAGAGAGTCTTAGCAGGTTTACCAAAGCAATTGTTGCAATTTTCTATGATGAGTATCTAAGACCACCAACTGACGAGGAAACTGCAAGATTGCTTGCAATTAGCAAACAACAAGGATTTCCTGGGATGTTAGGAAGCATTGAATGCATGCATTGAAGATGGAAGAATTGTCCGGCTGGGTATCATGGTATGTATACTGGTCACATCCACACTCTTATAATAATTTTAGAAGCTGTTGCTTCATATGATCTTTGGATTTGGCATGTTTTTTTGGTTTACCTGGAGCTCTTAATGACATTAATGTGTTAGAACGGTCTTCCGTTTTCTCACAACTTGCTAAAGGGCATGGTCTGACTGTTAATTATATAGTCAATGGTCATGAATACACGATGGGATACTACCTTGCTGATGGTATATATCCTTCATGGGCAACATTTGTTAAAACAATTTCTTTACCACAAGGAAATAAAAGAAAACATTTTGCTACACTTCATGAGTCGGCAAGAAAGGATGTAGAGCGAGCATTTGGGGTACTCCAATCACGCTTTGCAATTGTGCGTGGACCAGCTCGCTCTTGGGATGAGAAAATATTAAAGAATATTATGCAAGCATGCATAATAATGCATAACATGATCGTTGAGGATGAAAGAAATGATAGAGAGATCGACTTCATGTACGATGCTGCTGAGGAAGCTCTAACCATATCAATGTCTCATGAACGTACAATAGATTTGTGTGAATTTATTCAGAATCATCATCGTATTAGAGACATGCAAACTCATTCTCAATTGCAATTGGATCTTGTCGAGCATTTATGGGAACGAAATGGTGGGCTTTAGTAAGGGATTTATATGCTGATGTAATATTAATGTCATTTAATTTAGTGTTGCAAGTAAGAAACAGTTAGTTGATGTAGTATTGATGTTATTGAATTTCTAGAGGAATATGTGATCATATATGATTTTTGAGAAAAGTTTCCATTTGCATAAATAGAACTTCATTATATCTTCAAATACGATACATCATCTTCAAGTACGATACAACAAGAGTAAATTGAAATACATAAAAACACACTAAATACGATACATCATCTTCAAGTATGATACACCATCTTCAAGTACGATACAATAAGAGTAAACTAAAATACATAAAAACACACTATATACGATACATCATCTTCAAGTATGATACACCTTCCTTCTAATATGAACCACCACCACCAAATTGTCTTTCAAGAATTTCCATCTTCAGCTTATTGTAATACTCTACTTGTAATGGAGGCATGCCATCAGTGTTAATTGCCATAATCCTCTCATCTTGTTTCATAGCTTTCAATCATATTTTTTTCCTTTTTGATATTTTAAGCTTCTTGAGCGACCTGTAGTCTGGCTTGCTCTATCTTTATGCGCTCTTGCTCCTGAACATAAATTTGATCAAATAATTCTGCTCTCTTTGTTTCTTTTTCTTTCCGATCCTGCTTCATTTCATCAATAAACAACATCACTGGTGTAAGAAGCCATATGCTTGTCTTTACCGTGTTTCAACCTTTCTACCTATGGGCCTTGACGAACCCTCAGTAGGACATTCTTCTTCCCTGTAATTTATTGAATTTTGAGTTGCAGGAGAAGATATAGTAGGACTTGAATTTTTTGACTTCTTAGCTTTTTCATTGAAAATTGGCCAAGCCACTTTGTATGGAACCTTAAATCATTCCAACCATGTAAAAATTAAAAACTTGCTCCTTGCATGCTTTGAAACATCTGCATCGCTTCCATAATCTAATTGTAGGTGTAAATTTTAATCTCTTGAAATAGGGATTTCGTTTGTATTGATAAGAATAGCTTATTACAAACTAATGAATCAAGATTACAACAGAAGCGGAGGGAATGCCCTCCTTGTTTAACGTGGGAACTTTGGTAGAGATAGAATGTCTCGCTCGGTTCTCGCACCGAGTATGCTTCCCTTGGACGATTCGACCGAGGTTACTGGTGAGCTTCAGTACGCAGTAGGAGCTCATGCTAGTCGAGTTCGAGTTTTCGAGTTCGATGGCGGTTAGGGCCCGAAGCTAGGAGAGGATGCTATAGTGCAAAGGTCATGTAAAGAGCTTGTCGTCAACTCCGTCGAGAGTTGAGAGCTGTGGTTCAGCTAACTGATTGATTTAATCAATTAACTATGAACCAACCGAACCCCTTTTCTGTAGCCAGGAGAGGTTCTTAAATAGAGGAGAGATGGAGTGGCCACTCCTTGAATCATGGGATATGACCATGTACTGTTAGGAGATACCATGCCCCTCACTTGTACATGAGCGGCCGTTTGAGGAGCTCGGAGCACTGTACTTTCCCCCTTCACGTTGCGGGAAATGGGAAGGCCCACTCCTGTACATGATATTGCGGCTGCCTAATACTCGAGTGAGTTTGGCAAGTTTGTCGATTGCTTGGTGGTTTGTTTGGTCGTTCAGGTGAACCTTGGCTGCTTGATCAAACTTGACTTGTGCAGGCGAGTTAAGTACATCGGCAGTGTCCAACAACTGCAAGGATTTGGCTAGCCACTAGTACTGTGAGTGGCCACTTGATGGGCTTGGAGTACTGTGCTCCTTCCCTTCATGTCGCGGGAGGTGGGAAGCCATCCCTGTATGTGGTATAGCGGCTGCCAAGTACTTTGGCGAGTTTGGCGAGCTTACCATTTGTAGGCGAATTCAGCTCTTGACTCGTGCAGGTGAGTCAAGTCAGCAGGCGAGTTTCAGTCGCTTGGATGATCTTGACTCGTACGGACGAGTCGAGCATAAAGGCGAGTCTGTGGTCACCCAATGTAGGCGAATTTGGTGATCGCGTGGCCTTAGCTCGTGCGAGCGAGCCAAGCCCATGGGTGAGCCTAATTTCTAAGCTGTGTGGGTGGCTTGAATACGCAGGCGAATTTCATGTTTTATCTGCAAAGGTAATTTTTACCGTCTACAAGACCCCCTTCAAAGTTTTCAGACCTAAACCAACTTGCATGTGGTCTGGAACACTTCGAATAAAGAGGTTCCTGATGAATTAGGGTGAATTTGGCTCCCTCGGCTAGGTCGAGGCTTATGGGCGAGCCCAAGCGGTGTAAGTGCCCACGGGCAGGATTGGTGTCGTTAGAGTTAGGTCCCTCCTGACGAAAGACAGGCGCATGAGGGCAGGCCGTGCATCCATGGGGGAAATTCCCACGTTCGTTAATTAAAACAATGCCTCGTCTTCGTGCGCTTGCTTCAAGACATGGATTTGATGATGCTTTTACTCCTAGCCGTCAATTCGATGGGGATCGTGTCTTAGAACTGCTAGATCCTGGCCATCCGTGCAGAATTCTAAACGTCCCACCCTGATCACGGCCGTTCGATTTAAATCGCATAATCGAAACCGTCTGCTTCAAAGAGATCCTACGTATATAGCGTGGACCCCTTTCTTTTACAGGAGGATCAATGCACTCGTAATTTCTCTCGCTCAAGTTTTCTTAGAGAAAGCCTAGACCACTTAGATCCAAAATGGCTTCGGGATCGGGGACATACGCTTCAAAGGGGAAGAGGCAGGCTATCGAGCCTGAGCCCATCATCATTTCGAACGAGGAGGAGGAGGAACGCGCCTATGCTACCCCTCAGCAGCCTCCTCAGTCTCCTCTTCCCAGCGAAGGGGTTGTCCCCTTGATCCCACCTATTGCCGCGGTTCGAGCCGGTCAGGAAGCGGTCTCTCTGAGTTCCAAAACTGCACAAGGCGTTCTCAGGCAACTGTAGAATGCCATGAGGCAAGCAGTTTCCATCACTCACCTTGGCTGGGGAACCTACACAGATTTCAAGCCCTTCTTGATGGACCACGTCGCCGCTCTCAGGCGTATGGGTGAGGCTCGAGAGGCCTCGTGCTGTCTGGTCAGTATTCTCAGCTTTGAGTCACGTCTGACACGCTTGGAAGCCCTGCTGCAGGCTGAGGTTCGAAGGGAGGTAGGGAATCAGGCCCTGGCAGATCAGACAAGGAGGATAGTCGCTGCTAAAGTTGCCCTTGCCTCCTTTATTGAGCTAGTGTAGGTTCGATCGAGAGGGTCGATATTTTAGGGCTCGTCTCTTGTTTTCAGCATGAATGTATCTTCATAACTTTCGAATGTATTGTTAAGTTAGCTATGAATGGAACCATGTTTTCTTTATGCGTATATTTCCCCTTGCGTGATTGATCCTTTTAGGATTTTTGGTAAATCCCCAGCTTTCAACGGGTTTGATGCGTATTTACCAATCACCATTTGAATCGGGATAGTCATACTATTCCCGTCAGTATGATGAGTTGTCGAGAGCTTTCTCTTAGGATTTTTAGTAAACCCTCAGTTATCAACGGGTTTGACTTGCCTTTACCGATTACCGTTTGAATCGGGCTAGCCGTACTATTTCCCTCAGTACGATGAGTTGACGAAGAGATTTCTCTTAGGCTTAATGCTAAGATTTCTCTCCTAACCCGAGCCGTTCGAGGCTTGGGTATGGGTTAACCGTCAAGTCGTGGTTTGGTTGGGTCGTGTGGGTGAGTCAGCCTTATCCAGGGCGATTTGAAAGCTCGACACTTCAGATGAGTCCGATCAATCGGGCGAGCGGAGAATTTTCACGTGGGATTCGCGCACGCAGGTGGATTAGACCGAATAGGTGATTAGCGTATCTCAAGCAAAATTCGTTCCTTCAGGCGAAACGAGTCTAGGGTTCGCGGGCGAACTTCGTTCTTGCGGGCAAAATTTGAGATGGTGGTGACGAGTTACATGTCCGCAGGCAAAATTTGTTCCCACGGGCGAGATTCAAAACCTGTGCGCCACGTGTCTAACGAGCGAGGCTTCGTACTTTCCATCTAAGGCCGTGTGGGCTTGTCAGACCACATTAAATGTGATTCGACAAGGCAACGTCGCTTCCGTGCGCCTCGCACGAGGCTGAATCATGGCCGTCGTCTTGACCCCGACCGTTAGATTCGGTTGCGAATGCTCTCTTGGTTCGGATCCCGAATTCGACTCGCTCGACCCATTCTTCATTTTGACGGTTTCTCTATAACCGTTGAAGATCAAACTGCTTAGAGCGATTCGGACCATCGATTTCGATCGTGGCCACGCCGTTCAACGCAGACGTCTCGCCTTTAAATAGACTTTGTCTCCTTCTTTTGGAGACTACTGTGATTAAGAATTTATGCCCGCTCAAACCTTTCAAAGAGAAAAGCTTAGGTCTTTTTTTTTGACTCTCCGACATGGCGCCAAAGTCTAAGAAGTGTGCTTCGAAGAGAAAGGGCCCAGGCGGTCCTTCTAGCGATGCTGCCGCTGGTGCGGTTGCCGGCGTCTCTGGAGCGCATTCGGGTAAGTCCAACGACTCCATATTGATGATTGATGATGAATTGAGAAGGTGAGCACTGTTTGTTCGTCTTCTTTTGTGGATTTTACTATTTTTTGGCAATTTCCCTGATTTGGGTGAATCCCCCCCTTTCAGGCGGATTCGGCCTTTGCTAGGCGAATCCAGTCCCTGTCAGACAGTCTTATCTTTTATCAGGAGGATTCGATTATCCTCAGGCGGATCTAGCCTAACCGGTGGGTTTGTCCTTTGTCGGGCCGGTTTTGCCCTTATCAGGCAAACTCGGTATTGGCCAGGCAGACTTAGTCTCGCCAGGCTGGACCTGTTTGCTGAGATTCACCTGCTTGGAGGACTTAGAAGTTTTCTGATTCCAAATGTGAATTTAGTTCTAACCCTTTGGCTTTGTTTTGCAGCCACATTTTCTGATGAGGCCCTCCCAAAGGGTGTTGCCATTGGCCTTGCCGGTGGCTTGGGTTATACGGTGCCCTCCTGATTCCCTCTCCCTAATCCAGTGCCTGT